CTTTTTTAACATTTTTTATTTTTCTTTTACTATTTATTGATACATTTTGTTTTACTTTGTAATTCATCTTGTATTTAACCCAATGCTATGTCTTACAATATTTTTCTGTATTTCATAACATTAGCTAAAAATCAAGTAATCTCATTAAAACTCTTGGTTTTATATATTATAGTCTAACTCTATTCACCAACAGATGATTTACCACTTTTCTTTTAGGTAAAGATTGATGATCTAAATGGCTTCGCCATGCCAACTGTGGCATTGTTTAATAGTTTCCTTAAAAAATATATTTTTTAATAAACTTGTTTGTATTTTTGCAGTAACTCACATTTTTTTAAATTCCTGTGGCCTTGCGTTCTGCTAAAGAAACAAAAAATATACATACATACATATATGTTTTAGGTATATTTAAGTAGCCCATACTAAGATCGTGGTGCATACCTGTCTCTTATACACATCTAGATGTGTATAAGAGACAGCTATTAATGTATGTATGATTTAAAATTAATGCTTTACAAACATAAATAATAAATAATATATATTTTTAAGCAACAAAAATTGTTTTTCAACACATATTTAAATCATCTTAATTATGCAGTTGATAGTTGTTTGCGAATTTCATCATGTACTATTTGCTTTTAGTATAAATTTTAATGTTTTCCATGAATACTTAGTATAATTTCAGTATAAAGCACATACGCAGATAATCATGTAATAACAAATTACGAGACAACAGTTTATCACTAATATAGATATGTAATTAATGTGAAAAGTTGTGTTCCACGTAAACAAGTAAAGTACACCGATCGCTGGCATTCATGAATGGTGAAATGATTGAATGGCGAATGTTGATGCCGCTTTTTAATGAAATTGAGATTATTTTTGTCACTGCAACAACAAAATAGTATTACTAATGAAACTGATTATAAATATACGGTCATAAGCATATATACAACATGTACATAGAAGGTTCTACAGCTGTCACTTAAATAATGCATATTTGTTTCGTCAAATTCCCATAAACTGTGAAATAACTGCACGTACTTTGTGCAAATAAGACAAAAAGAGTATTTTATTATCCTTTATCTTATCACTTGTATTAGAAATATTATGTTTATTGCCAATTAGGAATGATAAATAGTATATAACATATTGGTTGTCATGCATTTAACATATGAGTAATCTATCAAAATTGTATCGTATTAAAAGAATTGTACTGGTGTCTTAAGATCTCTAGGTGGTAAACCTATTGATCACTAAATTATTGTTTGGATTAGAAAAAGTAGAAAAATGTTCTGTTTTTAATTGGTGTGCTGTAGTGTTTTTGATTTTATTTTAAAAATTTTATAAATATT